ATATTAAAAAAAAAAAAAAAAATAGCATAGTTTTAATTTGATATAATGGTGGTAGGCTAATTACCAAGCAAATTCACTTGAAAGGGAAGATTATATTAATGCGACTCTCAAATATTGGGTTTTCCAGTCTTACCCAATTAAAAGGACTTTCAATGAACACCATCCAATTGTATTTTCTTAATTTGAAAGATTTTTAACAGTGACAAGAGCATGCAATTAAAAGGCTAGTTGCTAGAGTATGAAATAATAGTATGTAATTAAAGCATTAAGAATATTACTCAGGATGTGAAATTATATAGAGGATATTACATGGGCGCGCGGAGATACGAAATTTATCTTCAAGTGTTGAAAAGATCTCTCACGAGAGAGCGTAGCAAATGAGTGAGAGATTTTCAACACGAGAAGATAAATTGCGTATCTCCAAGCGGCCATGTAATATTCTGTTTATTATATAATTACCAATGAAGTATGTTTTGGCTTTTTCAGTATTTTTGAATAGCCATCACAATGTTATTTTCACGTGTGAAGATATCAATTTTTTGAAATAGAGGAAAATAGATATTTCATAGATAATTATATAATAAAGATTTTTATTTAAGGTTTAATCATAATTATGCTTTAATTTGCATGAAATGCAAATTATATATGGATGAAATGCATTATTAAAACTAATTGTATATTGCATTGATCCAGGCAGAAATAGAATTTGTAAAAAAATTTAATACCATATTAGAGACTGCACATGCAAGAAAACAATTCATATCATTTTATTTTAGTTCATTCATTTATTCAATTATTTGGTGGAGTTGCCAGCTCAAGGTCACAGAACAAAGATAATACAAGTCCCCAAAGGGAATCAATTTAGCTCATGATATTTCACAACTCATGAGGCAGCCCAGTTTAATCCCAACTTATTATGTGCAACAAAACACCAGTTTTACATTTGATACATGTTGCTGTTTTTGAAGACTTGACTCGTTTGCACAGGCTTAGCCTCATTTATAGTTATTCACAGATACCATTAGAAGTCCGTGGGATTTCAAAACATAAGTATAAATTCAACTTGCACATTCTCTACATTACTTTTTTACTTTTACTTAATTTGCTCTTAACTGAGGCTAAGCATGTGCAGTTGAGTCTTCAGCCATAAAACGCAGCGGTATTTACTGATTGAGACAATGTACTTTTATAAAAAAAAATTTGTGGCCATGTCTTCTTTTGGCCATGTCTATACTTTTGGCCTAGCTGGGTTGACAAATTTTGATGGTTTTAAGAATAGTAACTTATGGTTTCGCCCATTCAACACGTCAGTACGATGATAGATGAGATAACAAATTACTTCAGTTAATTTGTCATTTTTCAAAAACTCATTTATTTTATCTTTAAGAGGTCACTGACATAAAGATTGAAGGAACTAGTAGAGTACTTTTTTTTGAGCATACCAGTTCATTTACAATGCTAAAATATGATTTATTATTATTATATCTGCTTTTTCACACACTTCAATGAAATTTCCTCTTATTTGAATACCATGTTACTAAAAAATAAAAAATATATGTATCTGAAATGAATACATATGTGATAAGATCAACTAGTTGTCTTTGTTATTGGAAGTCTTATCTTTGCCTTACCTTTTCCTCCTCATAAAAATAATAAGTTTATGTATTGTATTACTATCATGTTATGACGGCTTAAAATGTGGGAGAAAAATTGCTCTTACATGTACGTAGTTGGTTCTCCATTGTTAAAGAAATGGATGTGAAATCTTATTCATGGAAAAATTCACTTCTGTTAATTTTCCTTCACAAAAAATGCCAATTTTTAATATAAAAAAATACATTAGTACTATTAAAAAATATTATTATTTGATATTTTTGATTTTAGTAGGTGAAAAGAGCTCAAGCACCAGACTAAAAAGGGATACTTCCAAGTTTACCCTGGATGATATGTTACAAGGGACATATAATCCTAAACATTATGAAGTTGAATGGCTGAATGGTAAGTTTTTGTTTAGTTACATGGAACTTCAAACAAGGACACTACATTTAGTCAGATAGAAATTTAGCATGAATTTCTTATAAGTGGGAGGGCTACAATGTTCCAAATTAATAGCCACGTACTCTAGCTGTACCATATTTCTAAATCACCATAACTACTGTACATGTTATAATGAGAATGAATTACTACACAACAATGGCCAGCCTTTTAAATGCATTGTATGTACTGTAAGTCAGAACTGTACAAGTTTCCTACCTATTTGAAACCTGTTCTAGTAATAGCAGTAATTGTGTACTTTATTATTACGACCAAACACTTGTCAATCAACAACAATCAGTTGACTGTTAATCAATAATCAGTAGATCAACCAATTGCATTGCTAGTAAGAGCTATCAATTGAAAGTATTAGAACCTACAAAAAAGTTTTTCTAGGGAATTTCCACTTAAGGTGAGGCTCATTTAAACAGTAGGATAAGATTTTGGGGGTATTAAGGCATAGTAACATGTAGTATCACGATGAATGTGTTGCTTGTGAGAATGCTCTTTTTCGTAAGAACTTTGATGCTGACGTAAAAGCAATAGTTCTCAAAAACTTATTAAATTTCTAACATTTTTTTGTCTTGTATTCAAAGATGATGAATATATGACAAGAGGTGAAGGTGGAAGCGTTGACATTGTAAATCCCACACTAAATATTTCATCTACTCTTGTAAAAAAAGAAAATGCAGTAAGTAGTATCTAATATGATACAAATTAATTTTCATATCATGCTTTTTCATCTTGCTTATGATTTCATTCAAAATAGAATATGAAATTCTTGAAAATTTTTTTTCTTTTTAGAAAAATTTTGGAATACCAATAGTGATATCACCTGATAAAAAATTCATCTTTTACCCAAGAAATAAAACACAGGTAAGTCTAGTGCATTTGTCATCTTCTTATTAATGTACTTATGAATAAATATAAAATTATAGTCAGCATTTCGTTCACTGTTACTCAGCAGATAGCCTACCATAGCAAGATTATAAAATGTGCATTCACCAATTCATTGTTTTTCTCATGTTCCATATCTCATCCTCAGTTCACTATTTCATGGCCAATAGCCTACCACTGTGAGATCAACAAATTCAATTGTTGACATGCCATCTAAAGGCCAACTAACGGCTGACAAACAGCCATTAATTGAATTTAAACAGCTGTGAAACAGTTGGCAAATTGTCATTGAATTGCTGACAGTCAGTCAACAGGGCATCTGGGGCTACCTGAGATGATCTTGCATTTTATCCTTGCTTCCTTTCATTGCCTTATAATTTTAAATAAAGAAATTTTAAAAATCATTTACCAACACTGACACTTGCATTTCATCCTCAGCAATATAGATACTCTTCATTTGCAGACTACTATGTTTATGATGTTGAAAATAAGTAAGTTTATCCTTCATTCATTGAGATAATATCTTAATATTTAATAATTCTAGAGAGATTACCATTTAGTAGATTCCAGTGTTGATTAATGAATTTTTCTAAAGTTGATAATTTATATGGCATTGATTACGATGATAATGATGACAATTAAGATAACACTAACAACTACTGCTCCTGCTCCTGCTCCTGCTCCTGCTCCTGCTCCTGTGCCTGCTCCTGCTCCTGTGCCTGCTCCTGTGCCTGCTTCTGCTCCAGTCTCGGGTAGTTTTTTTCCTGATCCTCCTTTACCTTCTTTGGCTTCAGGATTAGGTCTTGAGATGCTTGTGCTGTGGGGTGCTTTAACGTTATGATTTGTAAATATATTGATAATGTGGCCTCCTTTATTGGCATTATAGGCCTTCAAGGCCAGTTCAATAGTTTTGGTGACAATACTTTTTGCTGCTAGGCCTCCTGCTTCTGCGCCCGCTTTGGCTCCTAACTTTCCTCCGGAGGCAGCACCAGCCTTGGCCCCCGCTTTAGCTCCTGAAATGTGAGCTGCATTGATGCCTGCTTGAATGCCGGCGATAGCTCCTGCTTTGGCAGCCACCNCCTGCTTCTGCTTCTGCTCCTACTCCTGCTTCAGCTCCTGCTTCTGCTCCTGCTTCTGCTCCTACTCTACTCCTGCTGCTGAACTGCTGCTCTTCCTATTACCACTACTTGTAGAACGATATGCAAAAGTATGAACACATTTAATGTATTCACACAATTCTATGCACAGGCTTCTTTTCTGCCAAATGAGCGTTTCCACACTTTATTCAGTAAAATAAGCGAGCTTCGCATCAAAATGTGTCCGTTTAACATACAGAACTCATGCACTTATGTCCTGACAATAATTACCTGTGATTGTCAGGACATAGTTATTGTCAATCCTTGGAAATTAGTTAACCCTTAATGATAAATTCATTAATTTAATTAATAAACAATTTATATCTCATAAATTGGAAAACTGCAATCTTCTAATTGGATGTTTTATGGTCCACTAGTAAAGAAGAAAAGATTCAAACAAATGGAAATACAAAAATTCAATATGTTAGCTGGGCTCCTAATGTCGATCCTAATTCTCTGGTAAGTAACTTTACACTCTACTCTACTGTGATCTTTAATATTCTACAAACTTAGTTATTTGAATGGATCGTCTTTAAATTGGTTTTTTACTGTCACCAATCAAGAACATATGAGGTACTGACTGATTATATTTTTGATGATGGTAGCAAGAAAAAAAAAACTTGTTGGCCATCAGTCATTCCAACCACAATTTTAACTCTTTTGTGCCATTATATACCTGTACAAACATAACACTGTGTAATGTTGAAGAAATAGAAAACGCGCGCGGATGCTGTGTGCTGTCATAAAGCACGCAGGGGTTGGCATAACACGAGAGAAGTGTTAAGAGAAGTGCGATGTGTAGCAAAGTGCTTCTGGACACTTCTTGAGTATTCTGCTGATCCCCAAGTGCTTTATGACTGCACACAGCACAGCAAGCAAGTTTTTTATTTCTTTTATAAAATACAAATTACAATAATAGATAGGAATGACGCAACAGAAAGTGCGCGCGCGTGCAATGTGCTCTCATAAAGCATGTGCTCCAAACCAATCAGAACTCAACATTCATAACAGTTATTTTATAATAGTATTTAGTTACATGTAGTTTGTACTGATCATAAATGTGCATTATGGTGCAAAGCCGTTTTGATGCAAATAATAGTTTGCGCATGTGCAGTAATGTTGCATTTGTAATGTTGCAACATGCATGGCTTGCTTCCCTGTGACTCAGTATGTTTGATGGATAGCAAAAGCAGCCAAAGCACACAAACAAAAAGATAATCATTTGAATGATAAAACAATAATTATTTAATTCTGTTATCAAAAAAATCTTGTGATTCATCAGTGCCTTCTGCATCAGCATATATTATTATTATTGACTATTCTTGAATTTCAAAAAAGATTAATAAAACATGGATGTTTGATGGTTTTGTCTTTTTCTTATTTTTAGGTTTATGTTAGTAATAATGACATGTATTACATTGCCAATGTTCAAGTGCCATTACCAGCTAGTGTTCGGTTAACTAATACTGGAAAAGAACATGTGATATTCAATGGCGTACCTGACTGGGTCTATCAAGGTACAGTAACAGTTTTAAGCCTAGGGAGTCAGAATGGCATGGGGAGGTTATATATGGAAAGAAATGCTTGCACTCCTCTTACTTTGGTTTTTGAAGTTTGGGGTTCAAATCCCAGTCATTAGACAGATTAAGATTCCCGTTTTTTCTTCCCGCAAACGGCAATCGTGACCACGTTTTCATCGTTTCCCTACATTTCTCTTTACCTTTTGCAATCCTTCTCAACAAAGGTAAGTATTATTTTGTTTATCTACTACTTAGAGATTTTTACAATTCCTTTTCACTAATTTTAAAGAATATTTTAATGGTCAACTGACATTTCATGTTTGCCATAAAGGAGAATTCTCTATTGGTTCTTTCTGACTTCGAGAACTTTTCCTGCCCTCCGGTTTTTTCTCCCTCCTCTCAAATCAACCCTAACTAATTCAAACCTGTTAGAGCTGTGCTCTGAAGTCATGTACAAACTGTATAGTGGCTGCCAGAGGCGCCTTCACATGCTTTCAGTTTAAACTGCGCCACTGCTGTACTATTTGCGGTGGTGATTAGCGATGACAAGTTTTTTGATGGTCTAAATACAAAGATGATTGGCTGAATTTTATTTTCACAAGATATATTGTAGTAGATTTACAAAATTAGCCATTCAGAAGTAACGGGTAATTCTTGTCGTATTGGAAATATTGGGGACTAGAAATTCCAAGTCCAAATAAAAAACATACTACAAAACTTTACTCGAATGCAAAAAAGAAATAAAAGAGGGGAAAATCTTTGTTAACCTTGACTCTAACCCTGATGATGGGTAAAGCTTGGTTGTATTAAAAATGTTCATGCAGATGAAACAGGTTTCTTTAGTTACATCTGTAATCTTTCCACAATTGATGGTTTTCACAGCGGCCATGTTGGAGGAACTTAACAAAAGAATTGTCAATGAATTCTTTTGTTATATCCTCCGACATGGCCGCCGTGTCTTTTGTTATTTAATTCTCTTGGGAATGGTTGAAAACCATCAATAGTGGAACCACTGCACTACCACACCCTTCATCAGTGTAAGAGGGACCGTAGTGACCATCTTTATAAATTGGAAATTGGTGCAATGTACATTCAAGGGGAGCTTGTGTTCTATCGTACAGCATGGCAGCCTGTGGGCAAAATCTCAGCTCAATATAATTTATATATTTTTTCAACAGAGGAAGTGTTGAATGCTGAATATGCTTTGTACTTCTCAAAGAATGGTAAATTTCTGACATATATTGAATTTGATGACACTAATGTCAAAGACTTTGTGTTCCCATGGTACGGTTCATCCAGTAATGAGTACACAAAACAACACAAAATAGCCTATCCAAAGCCTGGCACTTCTAATCCACTGATCAAGGTCAAGGTTATAGATCTATCAAAACCTAGTAAAGCTATTGAAGTTCCAAAGCCATYGTCTATAAGAAAAGGGTAAGTGATAATGCATCTTCTGATTGTATCTGTTATTAATACATGTGTCAATTTTATTTGCCCTGGCATTATAATTCTTTAAATTTCATTGCAGCGAAAAAATTAAGCACATTCTGTTATCTGTAATCAATTGATACACACAATTGTGTTATGTTTGAATCTTACAGTAAAAAACAGTAAATGTTGCAAGACATGTTACTAAAGACAAGCATGCACTACAGTACAATTAATTTCTTTTTGCACTATTGCTAGCCTGAACTCCATGACCAAACATCTGAGCTGCATCCAAATGTAACTGTGGTTTACTTTATTACATGAAATTTCCGCTATATATGTTAATTTTCAAGATTTTAAATTTGCGGGTTGCGTATTTTGCAACACTTTAATTTCATGATTTTGCCAAACAAAAACGTCATTCTAAGTCATTTCACGATTTCATAGAATTAGTTACATATTCATTACCTCTTTTAATTCAAACACACAGTTTCCTTGAACCAAACGACTTTATTGAGTAATGGTAACAACAACAACAACAAGAAATAGTTATTGTTTTCCTACATGTAGTTAATGGAGTGGAATGTTCCGATCCATTAACTATGGTGTTTTTCATTAATTCAATATTTATTTAAATATGCATTAGGGATGACACCTTAATTTTTGCGTCACATTTTCTTGACAATTATTGTTTTACATAATTTTATATAATAACTTCTATAACTGGGTAAATTTGTACTCGGGTGACCCACTGTATTTTTTCCTTCCTCACTCAGGGGGAAGGTATACACAAATTGAAATCAGCTTCCTTTTTGAATTATTGATTAGAATAGAGACCTTTTTTAAAACCTTGGACAATTATTCACATGTCTCTATCATTGCAAGCTCACCGTTCATCTCACTTCGATGCAAAGGCACGGTTACCTTTCAAGATGGCGCAGAGAACTGTGAAGGGGACTATTGGTGGTTTAAAATAGTTTGTGAATTTGCTGGTTTTTTTGTTCTTATCTAGTGACCATTACGTAGTACAAATTGGCTGGCTAAAAGATAGTCTATTTAGTGTCCAGTGGTTGACCAGGGACCAGAACTACAGCATCACTAACCTGTGTCAACTGGTCGATGATCCCAGCAGAGATAACATTGATTGTAATAAAAACAAGGTATAACTAAATTTAACAGTAGCTTTTCTTAGAACTTTATTTTTGTTGTTTGATGTTAATGATTTGTTTGTTTGATAATAGGGCCATGTTGAAAAAGTCAATAATGGCTGGGTCGATGACCAGGTATGTTATGAGTAAACAAGCTTGTTTTCATTTAATTTCCTACCATCTCACTTTTCCATTCTCCAAACCCCTTGCAATATGTTTTCTCGGTTATTTGCCAGATCTTCTTCCATGTCCTATACCTTCTACGCCTCTAGCTTCTACACCTCTACCTTCTACACCTCTACCTTCTATGTACACCTCTACCTTCTAAACCTCTACCTTCTACACCTATACTTACACCTCTACCTTCTACACTTCTACCTTCTACACCTCTACCTTCTACACCTCTACCTTCTACACCTCTACCTTCTACACATATACCTTTAACACCTCTACCTTCAACACCTCTACCTTCAACACCTCTACCTTTAACACCTCTAACTTCTACACCTCTACCTTC